AATACACGATTATTTTATATCATTATGAGTTTATGACAAAAAAAAAATTGCTTTGTTAATTTATTATATTATTTTTCCAATAATTGTATAGGCTCCGATCCTTTGTCTTTGACATTACGTAATCACAGTTGACAACTATTATGTAATATTTTATTTACATTATATTTGCATGTAAATTAGTTACGCTTATATCATCAGTTTTTTTTTTTTGTGCGTATTTTGAATTTTAAACATTTATTATATAGCATGGGTTTTATGTTATTATGTTAATGAACTATAATTATGATCGTAAATTTATAACTTTCTGTCAACTTGTTTAATTTTTATTGTAAACCGATTATTATTATAATTTTATCTAGTATAGTATAATATATTATTATATATATATGCGATTACCTACCATAATACTCAAATTGGTTTCCATTAAAAACTATCTGACTGAAAAAATACATACTTAACTTCCCAAGTATTTTAAATTAAAATTGTTAAATTTTTTTTTTTTTTTTTTACTTTCGGTATATTATTATCAATAGTATTTAATCATTCTTTGATTAATCCATTTAGATAATTTTTAACTTGGTCGAAACACGGACTTCGGGAAATTTGTTTAATTTGTATAGGATCTTTCCGAGAACGGCGAGAACATATAGTACGACTTTATATTTGAAATTACACTCGAAATTGTATGTGGTTGTTTCTCCCTATGTTATATTATGTTTAAATCAAAGTTACATAGTCCGAGAGTGTATACGTATATAACATTAAGTATAAATACATGTGTCCGATCACCAACTATACTACCTACGTGTCAATACGCACACGCGATAAATTTGTTTGTACTATATGTAATAGTGTGACTATGTAAGCACTGAACTAAACCCGTTATTTACAATAATTATTATGCTTTAAGTTGAGTGGGTTTAAATAGCTCAATCAGTAAAATTGGATGGGATTACTGGGCAAGTATTGATGAATTCTATGTATGCATGCTTGTGTGTGTGAGTAGAATTTATAATAATTAGAACATATCTATGTATTTATGTGTAGGTACTCCTGGTCTTGTAATCTATCCAAAAAAAAAAAAAGAATAACCTTATTGTATTTTTAATTTAAGGTTTGAATTTCTGTTTAAAAATAAATTATAATAAATTAAAATAAAATTTTTCATTAATATAATGTATGATATGTAATACAATTATCAAGAATTTAATTAGTTCTTGTAGGTTATAGTTCAAAATTAGACTCATAAGTATAGTATATCAGCTATAATATTAAAAAACACGAAGTCACAAAAAAAATTTGCACATATAGTCTTGCGATTTGCAATGTATCCTCTAAATTTATGACTTATTCATTTTTAATATAAATGTTTTGATAATTTTTTTTTTTTTTTTTATTGATTTTATTTAAGTTTGGTAACTAAACATTAACTGCGTATAGGAACAGTATGTTTTTTTTTGTGTAAGGTTTTATTTGGAAAGTTTGGTTAGTACGGTTAGAACACGTGTGTTTATATATATGCGCCATGGATTCGTCTCTAAAAACTCGAGTGGTCACCCATCCGAGAGCTAGTGACGCTGGCCGATGCTTGACCTCAAAATACATTAGTGACTGATGCCAACCACCGCGCCACACCAGACCACTTTTTGATAAATTATATGGCTATTAAAGTTGAAATTAAAATATGATCATACATTTTTACTATTCAATTCGAAGGAGTGAGTTGACATAAATAAACAAAATGGAATATTATTGGTTATCAAAACAGCTATACTAATGAAAAATTATTGCATAAATTATATAAATTAGGTAATGTAATTTTCACTATAATGCATGATTTCTTTTTATAAATTGTAATTTAAATTTACAGATGTTCTTTCGTAAAAACATTGATTTCAAACGCTAATAAAATAAATTTTTTTAAATCTTAAAATGTTTTGCGTAAAAATTTCAAGTGTTCCATATATTTTGATTCTATTTTTCTCCATTATTTTAAAATGTATTCGATATTTTGGATTTTGCGTTTCTTTCAAATTCCTAACAGATCTAATTTTATTTGCAGTTAAAAATATTAAAAATTTTTACCACTCAAAAATGTGATTACAAACAAAACATTAAAAAAAATAATAATAATGATGGGTATTGTACTAGGTTGATTAAAAGAAGTCGATTTATTCATAACTATTGAATATCGAATATTATTTATCTTACGATGTAAATACAATTTAATAAATATCTTAAATATATTAGCAATTTTAAGAAAACAATTAAAATAATAAATATATTATCAACTGAGCATAGTTTTATTAAATATTGCTACTTTTTGTTTTTGCTCAAACCCGTTTTCATTAACGGTTAGAAATCGGTGCTACTTGAAAAACTTATTGCCAATATTAAATTATATTACAGTATAATTTTTGTCCACTCTTTTATTACAATTTAATATTGTAGATAAAAATATAATATTATTCACTATTCAATATTTATTAGATACAGTCAGTGATATCCATGGTGTAACCCTCCAAAGTCATCAGAAAGATTGGTATTTTAACGTTTTTGGTCACGGCATTCAGAGTTTTATTTCATAAAAGTTATTATCCAACGTTATGTTTATGCAGTGCACTCAATTTGGCGGTAAATTTTTATGAACGTTGAAATCTATTTCTACTGAACTAACTTGATGTAGAATAACCTTAAATAAATACTTATAGATTTAAAATGAATATCTATTTTTACTATTTTAATTTTATAAATAATCTTAGAAGAATATTAATTACCCATTATTTGATTAAAATACTCAAATAGTATCACTTTGAAAATTGTATCCATCAAATCCTATTTTAAAAATTACCATATTTTTTCTTATAAAATAAACGCTAACATTTATATTTGAAATAATACATTATTAGAATACATATTAGCTATACGGTTCCTTTAGGAATTTATAATTGGTATTAAGCTTAGAAAATATTTCTTCAATGCGTTTAAGTTACCGCAATAACAGACTATGCAGATTATACTTTGATTTTACATAGTATAATAAACATAGACAAAGTGAAAAAAAAATAAAACATATTTTAATCTGTTTTACTAACTAGCTTAAAAAAACTTCTTTAGCAACAAATTTCGACAAAAAGCTGTAACCGAAAACTTTTTTCACTTATATATAATTTTAATTTACAACCTATAAACTTTTAAACATGTTTAAAACAATTTTATATTAATAAAATTACTTATGGAAGTTTACGAGCTGGAAGTCTTAGACAATTCGTTCATCAAAACTATTACATAAAGCACGTTCTACTACGCATTGAATGCGGTATGTGTGTAACTTAAAAGGGAATTAAAAGAACTAAAATGTAACGAAAACCATCACACTTTATACATTGTTTAAAATATATAAATCACTATGCGATTCACCAAGCTTTCATAAATAATTTTTTCAAGATTTTAATGATAGCTTAAATTTCGAACGATTGTTTTTGAATGATTGTACTTTATATTGGTATTAAGAACATTAGTCCATGATAATATGTATTAACTATTAAATAGTCGAGAGTAATAATGAGTTATAAATTATAGTAATTTATAACGATAGAATGTTATTAGTACATCATAATAATTAATAATCATTAATCGCTTAGTCGATTAATGTGTATTAGTTGAGTTACATAAACGATAACCTCTTTTATGTAATTTGTAAATATGTACCCATCTATATTTTTAACTTATATTTTCATTTCGATTTCATCTATTACTCATTATACGTATTATTTAAAGTATTATTATTTTATGTTAGCTAAGTATATTATCAGTATTTCCTTCTCTTGAAAAAGTTCAAAATATTACTATATTTTTTTGAGATTTTTTTTAATGATTAAATATTTTTAATACTTCTTTGTAGAACATTGGTCCAAAAAAAAAGAAGGTAATCACATAATAATTGGAATAGTTGATAAATACTTATATTATATATTAATTAAACTAATTATGGTTATAATTTAAAAACAGTCAATAGTTTTTTAAATATTGTTTTATTATTGTACAGAAATTAAATTTTATAATTTTAAAATTCTGTAATGAGTAGAAATATGAACTAAAAAAAAAAAAGACTTTAAAATATAATAAATTTTCTAAAGCAGCGGTCCCTACTACGCGGCCCGCTAGCAACTTTAGTGCGGCTCACATTAAAATTAATTTGTTCATTCTAAAGCCGGGACCATGCTAGTAAAAATTACGTTCTACGTCAAATATAGAATTCGCCACTAATATGGACTCCGAAAAATATTATTCGATAAAATACAATCATTTAATTTATAAATAAAAATTTTCATCGTGCGCTGTCTGTGCGCGAACAACACGTGCGTGATTAGTCGCGATTTTCTGTTGTGACGCAAAAAACCCATGGACGACGGATGGTGTGTGTAGAATGCGCCGAAAATATTTGCGTGTGCTATTATGCGCTAATAAGCAGTGAATAAAATGAACGTCACTTATTAACTTATTATTTTTATTTACTTTATTTTTCTATTTTAAACTTGTAAAATTACCAGTTGGACAGATATGTAGACACATATGATTATGAGTTTATTAATTTCTACCACGTAGTATCATTAAAAATGTATGCGGCCCGCTGGTCTAAAGTGTACCATGAATAACGCTAAACATTTTTTTTAAATGATTTAGTGTTATAATATTTCTAGACCACCGTGTCAATGATAAAATTAATATCTAATATTTACAGAAGTTTTGCTATTCATGCGTCATATTTTCTAAAACCAAAATATCATGTTATTAAACAAAAATGTTCACATAACATTTTATAATACAATAATATTATACACTGCATCGAACTTTGCGGGTTGCATAATGTTAATGTATTATTGTTCGCTACGAGTTGTCTTATTGTGTCGATATCGCGGCCTGCAATTTTTACTCGACCGTCACGACATTCGCGTGTTTTTTTCAAAGCGAGAGACTCGATCGTGATTTCATTTTCCGTCGAACTTTACGGTCGTAGGAGGTAAATAGTGAAAAACAAATGTCTTAAGAAGAATTTTTCCCCTCTCATAATCCACACAAATCTTGCCAGGGAGAGGATTTATAAAAACATATGGACGCTGTAGCAGTATTATGTGTGCACTGTAACAACAATAAAATACATTGCTTAATATTATATTATTTTACTGATCGCGAGAGGTGTTATACAAGGTCTTCGGGAAAGAATCCTGACAACGGGCGTACCGTATTACCATTTACCTACTGCGAATAGTAGTATATTTTATTTTTGTATACAGTAGTTTAATTATACTCTCCAGTTTCATGAAACGGTTTTAGTAGGACGGATACTACGGTTTCATATTATTTTTGGTTATGTAAATTTATCAAAATGTTCGACAATTTGGTATAATATTACCAGCTTTATTGAAATAACGGAGTAACTATCATTTTTACGTCGCAGTGAATTGTGCACTCTGTCTTATTAACTATTAATAATAATATAATAATATACTAAGCTTTTCGTTTATCATTCGTGCACACGTGCGATCTGTTGAAAATGGACAACACCACTGTCACCACCGCTATAAATGAACCGTAAGTCAGCTTTAAAAATATCTTACTTCATGCAATTAATTATAAATAATATATTTGTAAAAATATATATAATTCGTAAGTAACCTTGAAATTATTATGATAAAACATTATAATTATCGTATATCTATTGATATAATAATGATTATTATATATATATATATATATTTATATTAAAAAATATTTATTAAAATTAAACGGAATTTTATAGTGAAATATCCAATACTTTACCAATTAGCTGCATGACATCGTTTTATTTGAACGTTTATACCCAACAATTTGTGAACAATAACTATAAACCTATTACATATGTATATTGTATATTGTGTATTAATATACTACCGTCTATCACTCATTTAAGTAGTTATTTATTATTATTTTTTGAACGTAGTAGCAATATTTATGATTTTTAACAAAATATTTAATCAAATTAACATAAACAATAAATATTCAAATAATAAAAAAAAAAATGACTTACAATAATATTAATAAAAAACAATGTGATATCTTAAATAAATAGTTTAATAATTCATATTTTGAATACTATATAAATATACTTTAAAATTTATTTTCGTTTTTTGACGTGGTATAAACGCAAACTTAAAATTAAAGTAGGTAGTTCGTAACACGTCTACGTGAGAATTATTTAGTTTGAATTGGTATGATCATAGAAAAATCATCTTGTGGCTTTCTATAGATCGAAATTTCCACAGATAATTTATTTATACAGCTTGACATTTGATAAATTAATAGTTTATAAACGAAAGCACTTTACTAAATAAAGCTTTACAACCCATGTAAATCTATAATAGGTAAGTATACTATGTGTACATTATACAAAACGATATACATGCTTACATGTGACGTACATCTGGTTATGTATTATACTAGTAGGCATTAAATTATTATTGGATGTTTTTATGTCTGATTGCGTCGATCTTTTTTTTATGTTATAAATACTTTTTTTGAATGTATTTAGTTTATAATATTACACGAGTTACACAAAGAAAATTTAACTTATGTATTTTAGAATAATAAAGTAATATATTAATACATAATTGATATGTATATATTATATATATTTGTACTATACTTTAACATGTTATTAAGAAGTATTTTATGACTATAAAGTTTTATTGTATGCATTTACTATAAAAAAAAAAAAAAACATGTTTTTAAATTAAAATGAAAACGAAAAATAAAGACAATTATTAATTTAATACAACGTTATATTATGTGCAATTAATATATAAAAATACGTTAATAGACCTTGATAGTTTGACCAATAAAACTCAGACCAATCACTTTATATGCAGAACTTATGTATATAAATTATAAATTTGTTTTTTTAGTAGGTACTTGCCATTTTTTTTTTTTTTTTTGATAAAATAATAAACATAGATTCCTACTGTAAATTTAGCGTTTTAGTAATTCAATTTATATTATGATCATTAATCATCTTCGTATAATTTCATAACAATACAGTTATAAAATCTATACTTCACATAAGTATTTGTATAGGAAGTTAGCAGGTACACTACGAATAAAAATAAACGTTAACAATTTTGTTTCGGATTCGATCAAAAATTTAATAACTTCCATATTATAGAAAATATTTTGTATAGTCTATGCCTTTCGTAAAATATAAAGTATAGTAAGTACTGAATTGGTCACCATTTTGAAAGAAAATGTGAAATAAAATTGAAACGTAGAAAAAAATCAATAAACCAAAAATGTGAAATAGAACGAACGATAAAATGTGTGCCAATATTATTTTCCTCTGTATCAACATTTAATACCATAATGTATTAAATGAAATAATAAAATAAATAATATGAAAAATCAATAAAGTGGTAATTTCTTATGGTAAAGAATATAATTTTTGACGATGAAAGTAAGAAATATTTCCTATATTAGAAAAAAAGTTCCCAATGTTTCAATATTTCAATGCACTGATGTAAAACAAGAATAAGTAAAGCCTTGGGTTGAACCTAAATCTCCAAACAGTCCAATATACATTTAATTTTATTTAATAACTAACTGTCTTGTACATTTTATTCTCATATCACGAAAATTCAATTTTATTTAATCTATAAATAAATTATGCTTATAATTATAGGTTATATTATCAAAGAGAGAAAACAATATTATGTTGACAATCTATTAGTTATTTATGACATTATTACAATTTTAAATTTTAATAACAAATTTATGTAACTTTCAGTAGTTGTATACATTTTACGTACTTACCTATATTTAACTTATAAAATCACGGTTGAGACATTAATGTCACATTATGAAAAATCCATTGATTACAGTTTAATTGATCAAACAAGTTGTTACTTATTAATTATCCTTAAATTGAAATTACTTAACCCAGTCCGTTAACTATTATTATTATTGTAATCATATTTATTTTTGCTAAATGTGTATTGGATACGTAAAATTTATTACAAAAATAGGAAATATTATGAATTTTACTACAATATTATGATCCATCCAAAATGAGTGAAAAAATTATGAGTATTTTTACGAATAAGACAAATTAAATATGAATGAATCATGGTCATGGGGTTAGGGTATATCTTGTTTGAATAATATATTTTAATTTTGTTTTTTTTTTCAGTAAACATTTAGTAACTTAGATAAGCGAAAAAATAATGTATAATATATATATCCAATATCTTTCTGCTTTATACGTAAAGTATACTAAAAAGTCGTTCAGTTTAGAATACAAGTCTTATTATTATATTTATTTTTACTTTGGTACTATATTATTACAGGAAGTACGCAATATATTATTATATACAGAGTGTTTCATTAACCGTACTCATTACTATAGCCCCTTTATCTTTAATACACATAACTAATTAAATAATTTTAAAACTGAATTATTGAAGAAAAAGTGGGTGAGCATGCTTGGTGATAGGTAGCTATATTTTGTCACAGCTATTATTAATTAATATTTATTTTAAAGTATTATTAAATTTCAAAATTATAGTACATGGTTAGTTTTAAAAAAAAAATTGACGTTCAAACATATTTAACAAGGAAACATCAACTTTCACTTATTATTTATTTGTTGTGATTATTATTGATATGACAATAAATTCAATAGTAAATAATATAATAGCCTTATATTAATATATCATATTATTTTTGGATGACTAAACATATAAAAAAGCCACAGATCTAATGTCACTAACTATTTTTAGGTCTTATGTGTATTCAATACTCAAACAAGACAAATGGATTTTTTTTAAATTTTTATAGTAGAAAATAACCAAAAAAGTAATATTTATAAACAACGGCAGATATAAGCATAGTGCACCACAAATTAAATTCTATATAACACTGAATAATAATTCCAAAAAAAAAAAAAAAAAAAGTAATAATAACGTAAACGTTCACCCATGCTATCTGAATTCGAAATGATAGCTAAAAAACACTGCGGTGAATAATAAGTCTGACTATTATATCATTATGTTATGGCTGTGCAATGGAAATCATCCCTAATAACGCTAATTGGTGTAGGTATATATTATAGTTGGCAGTCTGCGTATCTTTTCGTGACAAGTTTGTGAAAGAAAGTTTACTGATTGTGACCTAAATATAGGTAAAAATGTTTAGTCTTTTGTTGTTTTACATATTATTATTATATTACAATAATATTGTAAAATTATGCCTGTAATATTTTTTTTTTTAACGTTAGTTATATATAATAATGCAAAGTCGTCTGAAAAACCGATTGCAATTTAATTTGATACGATGAACACACGTAGACAAACACTTCTATATAGATATCAAATTTTATGAAGATTTTTATATATAATATATAATATGATAGTCATATAACAGTCTTCATAAATTATATATTTTTTTTATACATTATTTTTCTAAATTTGCAACGAGACTCGATTATAGCCGGTTACCATGATTCCATTTAGACGCTCGCACTACATAATCATTCTATTAAAAATAATCTTATAATAATATAAAGATATCATCTACCAACTTAATACGGAATACCTTATCGATGGAATTGTGTTACTGATTGTATAAACTGTAGTTAATATATAGAACACGCCACTGCTGTTGGGACAATAACTATAAAATTTATTGGAAACATAATTGAACGTTTTGATTTCATTGACAAACTGTTAAGCATGTTTACATGGAAACTTAAAACGAAAAATTAATGTACCACATAGTACGATAATTTATGGAATATTTTATTGAAAATTCAATAAGAACAAAAAGAAAAAAAATGTTCATATGTACAGTATCTACTTGATTCCGATCAAGTTCAAAGCGTAAGTAAACTTCTTATAACAACATACTCAACAGGCAGATCACTGTAAAACTTCACTGACCGTAAAATAATTGTATAATATTATAATGTTTGAAATAAAATAATCATACATGAAACTTTAAAAAACAAAAAAAAAATTAAAATAATTTTTTTAGCAAGTATAGATAGATACATTTATTTGAAACTTGATAATATGTTTATTAACATTCCTTTAGTAATTCATTGATCGTTTTCTAATAAATATTGTTTATAGGAAGAGAGGTAGAAAAATGAAGTTCCCTGGAATCACCCAATAATTAATATTCACTCTGAAAATTATTTATTAGTTAAACATAAATGGCTTATATATGTTGTAATATTACCAGCAATGTAATTTTTAAGAAACGTTTTAAAACTATAATATAATTTTGCTTATATAATATACATATTGCTACAATAATCTTATAAAATAAATAAGCAGAAATATTGTACTATTAATAAAATTTATAAAATTAAATCTTAACTTAGAATACATTTTTTTTATTGTCATAGATTTAACGTACGTGTAAATGTTTAGATGAAAAAATCTATAATATTTTTATTGATGTTAATTTAGCATAACTAAAAAAAAAAACATTGTGACTATCTACAAGTTTTAATAAATATTAAATTGATTTTGTTTATATGAAAATATTTAAATAAAATCAAAATTTCTATGAAAAAAAAAAACAATCAAAATTAGTTTAAATCTAAAATACCACAATTTTTTCGTTCAGAATCTAAAACAAATTAATATGTTTTTTATATATATATACTCTATAATATGCATATATGTATGAGAGTCGTGCGCACATAGGTTAATTCTGTTGTTATACAACATATATGAAAAATTGAATTATATTCATATTAAAATTCATGTTACATCCCCGGCAAAATTAGAAAAAAAAATCCAATAAATAAATAATTATTTTTGAAGACTATATTTTTCATGATTAATTAAATTTTAGAATAAAAGTATTTTATACTAAATTCACCAAATAAAAAACCCGAGCTTTTAGCGATAAATCTACGTATGTTCCACATACGAAAACGCTGTGTTCCAAAAATCAATTATACTGTAATAAAAAAAAAGTATAACACAGGTTTATAATGGCTATAGTTGCAAAAATTTAATGAAAATAAAACAAAACATTTTAATTTTCGTAAATCTAAAATTGTATTAACTATACGTGTTATAAATCATAAGAATGTCACTGAGCAAAAGTATATTATAATTGGTTATCAAAATATTTTTAATAATTAATGGAATGTGATATATTTTCAGCCAAATAAGCAATCACACTCATTATTTTTTCATGGATTATTTATTGAAATATAAAATAAAAATTTATTCTTGAATATTCACCTACGATAATTTGTATGAATAAAAACCGTATATTTTATAACTAATAGCATTGTCATTGAGTCATTGATTCTATAGTATAAATGTAAATAAAAATCAACTGTAATAAATCAAAAAATATGATTTGTAGGAACAAAAATTTATGATAATATTCAAAATAGAGTTAATCAGATGTCCTTCAAAATATGAAAGGAAAAGGAACTTACTTTATTTTACCCGTTTCACAACAAGGTCAATATTCATCAATGCATATACCTAGGTCTGATAGTTTTCGCGTTACAAGGTTATAATGAAAGGATTTATCACAACACGATACTGTGACAATTTATGATTTAAATTGTAGAAATATAGGTGTGGCTCACATGACTTCACTAAGTTAACGTGACAGCGTAGGAAAATAAAAATCAATCAATAATTTAAAATATAATATTCGTAACACGATATTTTGTTTACAGGGAAGCTGGATCACTGTTAAACGCATCCGACCGTACGAGTGACCAGAATAAATATAAACGAATATTATCACAGGTATAATTAATTGTACAAGATCAAATACACTAATGATTACCTACTATAAAATACTACAAAAGTAATACGACAATAATGTAATAATAGTCTACTATTTTCGACAGTTGTTTTATTTTTATTTCAATCGCTGTGAATATCAGTTATCATTTATGATAATTAAATGGATAAATTAATAATTAAATAATCGTTATACGATTTTAATACTATAACCGTATAGGTAATAGCTTCATATCAATCATACCGACAATACATTATATTAAATGTACGGTGATTCATAAAGCGCATGGGGTAAGCCCCCAATTTTACATTTATTTTGATAATGTATTGATCCAAATTTCGGTTTTTAGACTTTTCAAGTATAATTCATAAGGACCATATTTTCATTTACTTAGATTCTTTTATTGAATGCGTTAACATGAAAATGTAAATCATATTTTTAGTAGTTAATACTTATTAATTTGAAATGAAAATTACTCTTTTTTATAGTAAACCGTTAAGGTGGTTATGTTTTTAAAAGCGTTGATATATTTAAATCAAAATTTAAACAAATAGTAATGAATACGATTTATGCACTAAAAATCTAAAGGTTTAAAAGATATGCAAACTAAGATAGTCTTAAAACTATGATAATTTATATAAATTATTACAATTTTATAATTGCTGTAATAACTGTTAAAGTTCAATAGTTAATAAGACGTATTAAACTACCTAAATATTACACACCTATTATATCTTATACTCTTTGTAAATCGTAATATAAAACTATTATTCTTAGTACGCTAATTTTAAAAATAGACACACTATTTAATCAAATTTAAAAACAAATAAATATAAATTTGCAAAAAAAAAATAACTAAATAAACAATTTATAATGTAGGATACTGTGTTACATCTAGAAGTGGCCCAAAATAATGTTTTTTTATAGTTATTGATAAAAAAATGTACATACAATCTTAAATTTTAGTACATTAATACCTAAATGGATATATCGCATAAGTATTATAATAGATTCTAGTAGATAATTATATTTAATAAAAAAATGTAACATTATAGTACAGCCATCAAATGGTTTATGTTTTTGTAAAATTACAGAAAAATGTATTATACAACGACATGCCAATATATTTAAAATTATTTTATTATTATAATATTCTCACACGATACGTATTATATTTTCAATTGTGGTATTATAATACAACACGGTGTACATAGGTAAGTGCGATGACCGCTCAGAGTTTATTAATGTTGGATTTGGGAATGATGATAGCCGTTCCTACAATTGTCATTGGCGCACTACACAATGCAAAAGAAGACCTTTCGCTGGACGATGATCAGTCCTCGTGGCTAGGTAAATATATAATTACGTTTAATCAAATTAACATTTGTACAATTTTTTCGATCAATATGTTTTTTTTTTATTTTAACTTCAATACATATTAATATATAATGTTCATAAATAAGCAATATTTATTATTTAGTCTTTTTTCAAATTTCAATTCAAGTTTTAAAATTTAATTTTTTTTTTTAAATCAAGTATGCTAGAACTTATTCTGCAGTGTATACATGTCAAATATTATTTAGTTTTATTTACACTTCAGAAAATATTATTGAAAACTTACATTTTGTGCATGTCATATTTTTTATATTAGTTTTTAATAATAAAATTACAGTTCTAAATTTTATTTTAATTGGTTCTAAGTAAATATAAAACTTTATGCAAATTGCTCTGGCACATAGATGTATAAGTTCAAATCGGATCCATGTAAAGTTATTTATCTTATCGTAATTTAATGAGTTATATTAACTTATACATAGGTTCCGTGATTTGCAAAAGTAAGTGTACTATTTATTAAAACAAATTTTCATCCTGAAAATAAAATTCGTTCCAAAATTATAGCTTGACCTTATAATTTTAACAATAGGAATTAAAAATCCATTTCAGCCCTTTCATTTGCATCTCAACTATATATACAGTCCTAAATTTGTTGAAATGTGAACAAAAATATTTTTTGTTTTAAGACTTGACTAGTGCAATATGATTTTTAACACAGGACCTAAATAATACAATATGCTTTTTACATGAGACCCAATTAATATAATTTATGAATTTAGGACCTATAATTATAAGCTTTTAAGCGTCGGTGTTTAGTTCTGAATAGACCAAAGTATGGCCAAATTTTACCCTTACTCTCCCTCATTTACAATGAAAACATTAAACACTTTGTCTTGATCAATTGTATATAAGAAATCACTTCCTTTTCTTAAAACTTAAATGATTTTCCGTTGTCAGCTTTACAAGAAAAATTTATCTTTCTAAAGTTATATACATATATAAAGTGAAAACCGCTGTAGTTGCATACCGAGTTTAATGACATAAAATTAACGACTTAAGCAAAATTCCTATGTTTTGTATACTAAATTGTTTGGTTGTTATAACAGTCTTACAATAACATTTATTTTTGGTTCATTTAGTTAAATAATTTACTGATCAATAATAACTATGTAATATGTAGATGAAGTTATGTTAGACAAGACAAAGTTCAAAGTTAATAATATTAATCGTGAAATTATATGGCTATAAATAAAATTAGATTAAAAACTATAAACAAAAATACAACACAAGTTTTATTTTCACTAATATACAAGACTTACAGATTTTTTTTTTTTAAATACGATAATTAATAACAACACAAAATGAAAATAAACTTTAATTTTTAATTCCATACAAAATTAAAAGAAACATTTTGTAATTTTAATAGTATAATATTATCATTCATAAGTGTTTTATAATAACTTTTTTTTTTTTAATTTAGTTTCTTTAACTATCAGTGATCATGATATTTTTTTTATTATTTTTTTTTTTTTTTTATTTGATTTTAAACGATATTTACAGTATAAGTAATGATGTAAAAATATGAATTCCGAACCCACCGAAAATCGGTCACGCGACAAATTCGCAATAACCTTTATACCTTGCTGCAGGTAGCATAATGTTGCTGTGCCAACCCCTAGGCTGCGTGATTTCGGGCTGTTTGCAAGGTGTGCTCGGCCGAAAACAAAGCATGCTACTGGTCAACTTGCCCCACCTGGCCGCTTGGTACCTACTATATGCGGCCACGTCCCGGTGGATGCTGTACACGGCCTCGATAATTATGGGTATAGGAATTGGATTTTTAGAGGCACCCATGATGTCGTACATCGGTGAGATCAGCGAACCGGAAATCCGGGGAATGTTGTCAACATTTACCAACTCTGTCGTCGTCCTGGGACACCTGCTAGAGTTTGTTCTTGGGTGTATGTTTTCGTGGAGAGTAACTATGCTCGTTAGCTGTCTGGTGCCTGTGGTTGCTACCATCTCTATATCGCTGGTATGACAATTGATTATTTTTTAATATTTTTTTTAGGATTAAGCTAAATAAAATACACTTCAACTACTAGGAAATACACATAACAAAAATATACTTTGTAAATATATTATTCTAAGTTTTATCCCGATGTAATATATTTTATAAGGATTTAAGACAAATAGCATTACATATTGGTAGTACCTATATGTATATTGGTAAGATGCGATATATAATAACGTTTAATGTATAATATTTATATAAAAAAAATAAATATCATGTAAGAGGTGGGGGTGATAATTATTACACAACATTATTTTCAAATTATTCGCCTGAAAATGGATTATTGTTTTTATGTTATGACTCTGTTCTTATGGCATATTGCTTACACGTGTATTTTAACAAAGCGATTATGTTGAAAAAATACTGTTTATAGTTAATACTAATATATTATTATATACGATTTATGTTGTACTACGATAATTAGATTTTTGGACAACAGAAAAAGTTTATCTCTAAATTTTACAATTTTACATTATGTCTAAATTTATAGTGAACTCACGTTGAATAGTTTATATATAAAATAAGTCATCGACATCGCAATATCGATGTCTATATTATTAAACGCAAGTACAAACCTTCGAAACATGAAATTACTGACAATTTGCTTAATTGATTAATTCCAAAATCATGACAGTATTAATTATAGTTGACTGTCTCTTTTAGATACTATGACATAGAACCACATAATAAATCATAAATATTGTTTATTTAACTTCAATTATTGTTGTAGCTTAAGTAATGACGATAAGAAAAATGAATATTTTTCCCCAAAATCGATAAGGCTTATATTATTTCTGTTCACTTATTAACTCTATGTTAGTGTTACCTAATCATTTTTGTTATTTCCACTATTTTAAAAATATTTTGATCCATCGTGAATAAAGTACATATTACTATTACTACCTATTATTTATTAATTATTAGTCATATCTTGTATAATGAGTTAATGAATAAATATTTTTTACGAGTGTTTTAATTTTGAATATAGTAACATGTTAATAGTTTCATATGCATAGGCTTTGTATAGATAGATAGTATAAGTTTTACAGGAAGCCCATTTTATATTTTTAATTATCATAGTGTACTTTTTAATAATCTATTGACAACAATTATCACTCACGTAGATTGATTATTTATTATATAAAGTTTTTGTACGTCAAATATATGATTAAAATAAATTAATAACATAAACGACATGATTCAACTCATAAAAATAGCATTCGATATAGGTAGTTTTTTTTTTTTTTTAGATACTTTTAGGTTAATTTAAATTCCAGTTTTAAACGATAAAAAAATTATTGTTACCCAGATTCCAGAATCACCCATCTGGTTATTGATGAAGGGAAGGAGAGACGAGGCATTGTCGTCGTTAAGATGGCTACGGGGGTGGGTTTCCGCCGAAGATGTGAGAGAAGAATTTCACGAACTCGAACTGTATTGTCAGGCGTCCAAAAATGAGTTCAAAAGTTTTTTGGAAGCCAAGATCAAAAAATCGTCCAGATACACCGGACTACCGGGTACGCCAATACGAACCCGAAAACAATAGTAATGATTAATTATATTATTTTTTTGTTTTCTGCAGACAGCGAATTTGCAACACAAAGTAAACCCAGCATCGCTAACGTAATTAGAGACTTTCTGCGTCCCGGAATCCTAATACCACTACGTCTGGTAGTAATCTCCTTTTTCTTTTACCATGCAGCGTCGCTGACAGCCATGCGACCGTACATGATAGAAATTTTCACCCGACTGGAAGTACCCTTGACGCCAAAAACATTAACCGTAAGAACTTTATTATTATTTATTTAAATTTAAATCTTTTATATTTGCAGTTTTAAATACATTCATCTAGTATATAATATTTGGTGAACAGCAGACAAAAGAGAATTTTTACAAGGGATTCAATTAAAATCTAACATAACCTAACGAAAACAAAATGAACGAATGTAATTAAATAATAGCAATTATAAAAATATCAAAAATTTAATTTTTTTAATTTTAATTATATGCAATACCTTTTAAAAAGTTCAATGTTCTATTTATATTAAATAAATTTACTAGATATATTTATTATTATTTTTTTTTTTTTGTCATATTATATTTAAATACTTTTTTTTTATTATTAGAATTTTCTACAACTATTACAAGCAATCCAGAACGTTGTATGTTGCAAATCTACAATATGAAAATAAAATTAGATATAAAAAATAATAATAAATAATTTATTATGACTAATAATGTAATAAACCTTTCGTACTATCCTTAAATTTTATAATTTGTTATCAGCAATTTTTTTTTTTTTGCCAAATCATAAAAATTCCAATGTTTCGAAAGAAAATTTGGTGTATAATGGGTCATTTTTTTATACTGCCTACGAGTCTCCCAATCCAATTAATATAAAATAAACCAATATAGAAAATACACTGATTTAATATTACGTAAAATAGGTCATATACATTGAAATACAATGTTGAACAAATCATCACTAACTAAAACAATTTTATAAAAATCTATAAAAAATAATAGACTTTTAACAACGTATCACAAATGCATCATATTTATTCTACATTTTTTTTTTAAACTTGGCTTTGTTTTAAACATAAATTAACATAAAAAAATAAAAAAACATGTTTAAAATGTTAGTAAGGTCTTTAAAATTCTATCAGTTAAACCATACTTGGTTAAATATTTTTGTATTCACATTTTTACACATTTTTGTTCTGAAATAATTGTATGTATCAAGAAATAAAAAGAAAATGGCATGATGATAATGACATCGTATTTACACAATTTTAAATTCTGATAAACAACAAACAAATATTAATTTTATAGTTATATTATATCATTATTGATCGTATAGTTAATGCAATAAATTTAAAATAGGTATACATTGTCACTTATTTGTGTTTTATTATACACGGGGTTAATTATTTATGAATTAATTACCATTTCAGGTCATATCAGCAGTGCTACAGGGGACAGGAGCAATGACATGCATTTGTCTGTTGCGGGTGGTCGGTAAAAGAGTTTTGTTTTTGGTCTCAATGACGAGTTGTGCGCTATGCTGTCTGTTGTTGGGTGCCTACACATATTCCATAACACAGCACCAGTGGTCATCCATACCGACGATACCATTGTTGCTGTTTTGCACGCTGTACTTTTCCATAAACTTAGGTGTCAGTCCCATACCATGGTTGCTAGTCAGCGAAGTATTTCCAACCAGGTAATATTTTCTTTTAACTTTATATTTTTTTTTTATCAAATTTCGTTTTTATAAGAATGTTGTTTAAAATTCATCGAATTTTATACTATTGCAGAGGACGAGAAATGGCCACCGGAATGTGCGCAGTATCTTTTTACATCTTCGCGTTCCTAGCATCGAAGACCTGGTTAAATCTTCAGAGCTTAGTTGAATTATATGGATGTTTTTTATTCTACGGGATACTAGCCGTCATTGGAATTATATATATATTCATTTGTTTGCCAGAAACTGAAGGTAAAACGCTAGCTGAAATTGAAGAAGATTTTGCGAGAAAAAAACGTCAGATAAGTTAAAATAAAAAAATCAGCGTAATGATAAAACATCACATTAACGTATAGACGTATAGACGTCACAAGCGTACAAGTGTTTTGTAAATATAATTTTAACCTTCTCTACTAATACAAATAAAATACTTTAATATATATTACCACCTACGGCAAATTTAGTTGACAAAATGTAACATATAAAATAACATATCGAGTTTATAATTTTATTATTTATAAGAATAATATTACAAAATTGACAAGTGAAAACACTTTTTTTTTTTATTATAAAATACTATACTTTCATATATTAAAATTAAGTGTATTTTACTCAATAACAATTATTTTACGATAAATTATTTGTTTTCCTATACTAATTAAAATCATATATGTAAACATATATTTTAAAACCAATATAAATATATTTAAGAAGTGTAATAAATAATACTGTTATTATATATTTTATAATTTGAATTTTATGTATAATATTATCTATAAAATAATAATATACACATAAATGTGTTGTATATTAAATTATTATTATGTAAGTAATAGACTTAGTATTTTATAAAATAAACCAATGGCCTTAATTTGCCTATCTAACGCACCGTCTTATATTATGTGATTAATACATTCTTGTTTATAATATTTATTTTTGATTCCACAAAAAAAAAATAATGGCTTTATATTATTATTATTATTCAATCGTAATTTACTTTTTATCAAATTGTAAAATAATGAGTAAACAAAAAAAAAAAAAAAGATCTATAAAATCGAATTATGTAACATAATATTATTGTCACCAAATCAATACTATATTAATTACTATATTTGTATAGTGTATACTATAATAATAGTTAATACTACAAACAATATTGTTTTATTAAACCTTAAGTTCAAAATTGGTTTTTATTTCATTGAGATAATTTACTATACTTTTCTTACTTAAGACATGTATATACTTAATTTATGAATTAAATTTATTTACGTATTAAATTTAAACAAATTTTTGTATAATTTTCAATTCATTTTCTAATACATAATAATATTTTATTATAAAAAATGTTAGTTATTTTTAATAATAAATATGAATTAATGTACTTCTTTTCTCATTTATAGTACAAACGCTTTGGTGCTACAATGATTACATTTTTCCAGCAGCAGTAGACTATCTTAGAATCTCATAAAATTACTAAAGTGTTTTTGTTTACAAAATCTATTTAAATGCCAATAAACTAAAAAAAATAATTTTCTAAGTGAAAAAAATAATTTAGAGTGCCTGAAATTGTATTAATAACTATCGCAGAAAAAATGTTTGGACTTACACACGGCCCTTATCACGTCAGTACATCAAATTGTTAAGTACATTATAATGCTGTGGAATTGGAGTTTCATAATTTTTTCATTTAGTATAAGAATATCACATAATATCATATCATAATTCATATAACTAAATCAAAGATTTTATGAAATACATTGTATTTACATGATTTTTTAAATTGTATTTTTAACAACGAATTAAATAATTATAATAATATATTCTGTACATAATATTATATATATGTACAACATTTATAAAATAATAACAAAATAATGAGCAATTTAATCACAGAGCCAGAGGACACTTGCACACCTTAATATTGGTATTGTTTGTTTGTGTATTGTTCGATCCATCTTCATTGCAACATCTATGGTGCCTCTGACAGTTGTTATTATTAGATCTGTCAATTGAACGCAACGAGTCTTCGAAATTTTCACTAGACCTGTTCAATATAATGACATTGTGATATAATTACCACTAACTACAGTATTACACATAGATGCTATCTCCCTGTATGATTTTTATATGATATTGGACTAGCGACACTTACTTCATGACAAAGGATTCGGTTAAACTGGCGGTGCCCGTACTACCGGTGGCACTACTACACGAACAACAATCGTTTGTCAAATGATCATCACGATCACTCCTAGTCCCGCAGTGGAGCCGCATATGAGTGATTGGCGGTTCAACGGGTATGATAGACCTCGGTTGATTGCATCGTAAACCCCTTCGTAGGTTTTTTGGGTTAGTTACAGCCCCACCGTACAAAAGTGAACCCTCCATGAACGATGTGGGGTTCTGTAGCGATCTGGGTTCGCAAGTTGATAACCTCGCTAGACTTCCATTACTCAAAGTGAACGGAGATCTCTCGTGGAAACCAAAATTTCCGTAGGAATTAATAGTCTTATTCTTCTCTCTACGAATGTATATAATAATAATATGACAGTTGGGTTCAACAAACATTAAATACGCCACTTAAATTATTTTTATATTTTTTTTTATACTTGTTATATTCATACTTTTTACGTCCCGTGCACACGCACGTTACACCGGTTATAGCTCCCATGAATATAATGAATCCGAACAAAACAGTTAACAGTTCAAAAGTCGTGTATAGACTTAATGAGTTTTCCACCACAACGTCGTTGTGGATTTTTGGTATACGAGAAAATCCAATGAACTGTAGCGATTTAAGTGTGTGATCAATTTCATCTTGGTGATCCAACATCAAACTGATGCAAATAACCACAGTTAAATATTAATATGTGCTGATATTATACTATAATGTAAAATCATAATTATATGTGCTTACTTCATTAATAAATCACTATCGGCCAATGCATTTGTAATAGGATCCACAGCATAAAGTTGAATATCAGTCCTAAAATAAACAAATATTTTGTAAATATTTAAGTACAATAATTATTCGATATAAAAAAGCTTTGAACATATATGCAAAAAATATTTAAGTAGGTGTAATTTCACAATTTAAAATTAATACTCTCTCGATTATTAGAAAAATACATATTTATTTTAGAATATAGTATTTATTTTTATAACTGTCTACTTATATATAGTTTATAGTCTAATTTTAAAATTATATTTTATTAAAAGTTATTAACTGTTAAAATTAATTTTTTTAACGATTTAATGAATAAGTAAACTAGTGTTTTATTATTATTACCTAGCTTTAGAATGCATTTGTACATTTGAAATATTAATTTAACTAAACATCTATTAAATTAATATATAGTTAAAACATACATGTTATTTATATTCGAATCTATTCTCCATATTTTAACCATACATCCAGTGATATTAGTCATTGAATCCGTTATGACATCCGTGTTTTTCTCAACCACTGACGGTTGTTTTCCCAAAGCCAATGTTATTATTTTCTGATCATTCAAAACGTAAATCTTTTCCATTAAAAACAAATCAATATTAGTCAAAGAGCTTATAATCAATAATATTCTCAAAATCAAAAACTAACAAAGACATTTGTTATCGCCGACCTCCCGTTGGACGCGCCCGCTCTATCGGTTGCACGTATATCAAAGCCAAAAACGGTATTGTTTAAAAGTTGATTGAATCCACCAACAGTTCGTATTAAACCCGTGTGTTCGTCAACATTGAAATATCTTTTTTCGACGGGATCTCCGACTATTGTATACTTTATTTCCGAGTTGATATTCAGGTCTGGATCGATCGCCTGAAGTTATATACACGCGTATAAAAACAGGTTTAAAATAATTGTTCCACAAAACATAACGTGAATACACTAAACATACTTGAACTTTCGCTACTGGAGTTCCATAACCTGTCAACGGAGATACAGCTGCGATTACTGGTGTACTATCGTTTGTGAAAATAGGTGAGTTATCGTTTTGATCGATTATTCGGAGTACGATTCGTGCTTCGTTAAGAGCTAAACAAATAAAACGCCGTTATGATTTATCATAAAATTACTACTATAATACATTAAAATATTCTAAAATATCGTACCTATGTCGTGTGCGACCGGATGTACTATATAACTTGATTTCCCTTTCCTCCCTGTCACTTCAACACGAACCATAACTGTGAGAGTCGGAGTAGACTCTCGATCAGGACTTTCAATAAGATAAATATTGCCATTTTTTGAATCAATTCTGTTAAATAATTTATTTTTTTTTTTTTAATATTTAATAATTAATTATTCGACACGCAACGCTAACTCACTCAAAACTCTCGCTGTTTTCCGAGGGAATTATTGAATAACTGATAGACGTTGCGGACCGTCTAAACCGTGATGTCACGTTAAGTTTGAGAATTTCTAATGGCACTATACAGTTTTCTTCCACTTCCACTTCAAAATAACGAAGTTCAAGTAACGGTTCTTCGACTCCAGAGTTTTTATCAGCGACACTGACGATTAATAACGCGGCGTTATCTTTTCTAGAAAAACCTGAATCCGATGCGACCACGGTAACATTGTAAATACCCCCTTGTAGTGGAATTTTTGATGTAACTACTCCAGTTACGCGATCTATGTCGAAATACACTAAACCCGGTCCGAATAGACTGTACGTAACTAAGGAATTTCCGTCCTCTGGTCCATCTGGGTCTTCAGCCACGATTCTCGTAATCATGGTTCCTACCGTACCGGCTTCGGCCAATGTTGCTTCATAAACTGGCACTGTGAGCTCTCCTTCAAATCCTTTAAGTCCAATTTCACCGGCAGACAACTTTCGTACACGATGATGATTTCGGAATTGTGGAGCATTATCATTTACATCTAACAGTTTGACGACAATATCCACCGTCGTAGGATTTCCACCAGATTTTCTTTTACCCGTTAACCGCAAGTCAAATGATTCTCTAGTTTCTCTGTCTAGATCACCAGATACCAATAAACATCCAACGTCAGTCATAACGAACGTGGGATTCCGGTAACTTTTTTTGGTTAACGAATATACGACCGAAGTTTCATCAGTAGTTATACAACCGATTTCATGATTTTTATACGCACCTTCAGGAACCCAAAATTCATACAATCTAAAAAAAAATAAAATAATGGTAGGATAATGATGATTGTGTAACAATATAATATATGATTTTATGCTGAAAAAATTTGTAAAATATTTAATCAATATACAAAAATGTTGACACTTACTTTTTTTCAAACAAAATGTCCTCTTCGACAAATACAATTATCAATATCCAAGTCATCAGACCGCCTTCGTCTTCCGCGGTGACGTTTAATTCTTGTTCACCAATCTTCAATTGACCCACCACGGAAAGCTGACCCGAAATCGGATGAATAGCGAACTCCATGCCACTTTTTGCCAATTTGTACGTGATAGTTGAACCGGTAGAATCAGCGTCTTCGGCGTTCACTGCTAGTATCGGCGTACCAGGTTGTATAGTTTCTGGAAGCCATACGACGGCGGTCGTTGTGG